ACGTATTTAACTATGCATCTATTCCCCAGTGATTTTTGCTGCTGCAATCCCGTCTGTGGTTCACTGCCTCTGGCCCTGCTTTTCCAACGATATAACTGTTTTTTTGGTAACTTCTACCGCTAAGACTTTGTTGCTTTTTCCCTTTTCCCTAAAAACATAATAGTGCTACAAAGCTCAATAACAATATGGAAACAAATGTTAATAAGCCACAATAATATTGACAATAAATAAGATTTCACTACGATTGAATTTTCTATTAGTAACAGGGTAGTTATAGTGAATGTTTTATTCGATAACTAAAACTATATTTGATGTTTGTAGCGATAAAAATATGCCTAAATCAGCCAAATACCCTATGTGGGTCGGCTGAATCAGTAAAACGTGACAGTAGTTGACTTTTGAGGTTAATATATCGGTCTTGAGTTGGTAAGGTTTTTAAAACATCCCCAGCTTCCTTTAAAGCATCGCTGCTAAATACTACTTTCGCGAATTTAGCTTATCATAATATACCGTTTGTAACTATTTATATGCAAAATTTTATATGAAAAATAGTACCAAATTTCGTACTACTTCGCAAAGCGGGCTTTTTTTCTTCCCGTTTCTCTCGTGCTTCCATATTACAACCTTTTGTAAGGGAGCTGTAGACATGAGCTGTCACTACGTACAACACCTTGTATAATTCCACCATGCCTGTATTTATGTGCCTTGGATGAGATGAAGGGTGAGTAGTTTTTCATATCAAAAAACTTTTTTTAATAAATTTTGAAAAAAAAATCTTTTTTTTTCGAAAGTTTATTTTATTCATTTTCTTATGAAAGGTGAGTATTCTTTCAAATCACAAAAACGTTTGTTAATAACTTTTGGAAAAAAATAATTCTATTTAATCAAAAATGTATATTATTAATTTTTTTATATGTATATAAAAAAAAATTTATCAAAAATTTATTTTTTTATTTGTTTATTAAAAACAAATTTGTTATTTGAAAGAAGAATATCCCAACAATTTAATACAGAAACCTATTTAGAGATTTTGGGTTTTTACCATTTTTCTCAGTGTAATTTGAAAAGCGCGTTTATTCATCACGTAAGTCACAACTTCCTGTAAAACACGTTGCGCACCGGAAATGCGCCCAGCGCTCGTTTTAGGTGGGTATTTCGTAAAACGATTAATAGCAATCTAGTTCTTCAAGCTATGGCGCATAGATTCAGTTACTTTGCATTTTGAATTTTTTTTTCGATTTATTTAATAAAAAATATTTTTTTTTGTCAAATTATTACCAAAAGTGCATTTCCGGTGCGTGAACTGTTTTTACAGGAAGTTGCGCCTTGCATGAAAACTCAACTAACCAGCTGCTCCCGGGGATAGGCTTCATTTCTTGGTGGGTGAATAATGTGAGCAATATATCCTTTTTAAGTATGCTTTTCTCTGTCTTCTGAACGAAAAAGTATTTCTTCCTAAATTTCTATACATGCTAATACCTTTTAGGTCTCCACAATTAGTATTAGATTTTTTCCACAAGATAAATTTTTAATAAAACAATTAATGGAAAAGTCTAACTATACGGAATTACGAAACGATATTTTCGATATTTGCAAGGGTCGTGTTAATTTCGCTTTGACATCAGCTGATGTAAAAATTCATCAGCAATCCAAATATGTCCCGCTTATGCCAAAAAACTTATAAGGAAAAGTTTTATTGCAAAAAAACGCCAAAATTTGAGATTAAGTTTTCGAAAAACCGCCTGCCACGCCCTAGCCTCAAATGGAATCTGCGTTGAAAGTATCTCAATCGATGCGCCATAGATTGGGGAACTCGATGGTTATGAAATTTTTCCCAAAATACCCATCTAAAACGAGCGCTTGGTGCCATTTCCGGTGCGCAACGTGTTTTACAGGAAGTTGCGACTTGCGTGATGAATAAACGCGTTTTACGAATTGCATTAAAACAATGGTAAAAACTCAACATTTCTAAATAATTTTTGTACTAAATTGTTAGGAATTTCAAGCGGGAAAAAAATTAAAAGAAATATCGAATTTTTTTTTTGTTGAAAAAAAAAATCAATTTTTTTAATTTTCGATTTATTTAATAAAAAAATATTTTTTTTTTGTCAAATTATTACTAAAAGCGCATTTCCAGTGCGCAAAGTGTTTTTACAGCAATTTGCGCTTTGCATGAAAAATTAACGGACATAAGCAGCCCCTGGGGATAGGCTTCATTTCTTGGTGGGTGAATAATGTGAGAAATATATCCTTTTTAAGTCTGCTTTTCTCTGTCTTCTGAACGAAAAAGTATTTTTTCTATTCATCACGCAAGTCGCAACTTCCTGTAAAACACGTTGCGCACCGGAAATGGCACCAAGCGCTCGTTTTAGATGGGTATTTTGGGAAAAATTTCATAACCATCGAGTTCCCCAATCTATGGCGCATCGATTGAGATACTTTCAACGCAGATTCCATTTGAGGCTAGGGCGTGGCAGGCGGTTTTTCGAAAACTTAATCTCAAATTTTGGCGTTTTTTTGCAATAAAACTTTTCCTTATAAGTTTTTTGGCATAAGCGGGACATA